CTCTCCCACTCCCCCTGCTTGTGTTCCCTCTCTCGTTGTGTCTCTCTCTGTCAAATAAATAAATAAAATCTTTTTAAAAAAATAAAATAGAGCATTGTGGGAGAATTAACCAATGGGAAATTATCAAAGAACTGCCCGTGCACGGTAAACGAAGACAGCTGAAACAAGTAGACGAGTTCTGATAGTTTTACAGGAGCAACTCATGAAATCCCCAGGCTGGGCCTCCAAACCGACCGGAACAGAAACTTTAAACACACATTCTTGGGGCGCCAGGACGTCCTCTCCATCTTCAGAAAGAAAGGTCTTACCTTCGGCACAGCGGACTCACCGAGTTCCTCCGCCCTGGGACCAATGTGCCGGGCCGCGTACGGGCCCCGCTTCCCCTCCCGGTATCTCATTCATTCCGCGCCCGCCCACCCCGCGCTGCGCAGGCAGGGGCGACGGCCGCCTGGCCCCAGGCCCGGGTCCTGTGTCCGGCCCCACTGCAGGGGCGGGAAGGAAAAAGCCCTGGAGCCCGCAAGTAAAAACAAACAACAACAACAACAAAAAAAAAAACCCCACAGGACGGTCCACCCGCGGCGCCGAAGGCCAGTTCCTGGCGCGGGGTCCCCCCGCCCGCCAGAGGCGAGTCCCAACGAGTTGGCAGGCCCGGGAGGAAGCTGGGCCGGGGCCACTGACCTGTCAGGCCCCACTGCCTTAGGTCCTGCTCCTGCACCCGTGCCCGCGCCGCCTCGCCTCGGCTCCGGGTCTGAAGGGCACGTAGGAAGCCAGGCATGTGGCCCCCACACGTCGCAGGACCCGCGCTCTCCATGCTGCCCAGAGACGCTCCGCCCCGCGGCGCCCGCGCGCTTCCTTCGCGACGCGCCCCGGACGGCCCTAGCGCGCAGCCGCCGCCAGGGGCCGCGTCCTGCGCCGAGTTCTGGGCGCAAGCGGCGCTCGGAGTTAGCTTTCAGGCTCTCATTTTCACTCTTTCCGGTTGTACTCTGTCTGCTCTCGGCTCGTCCGGAGGTCAGACTATGCTCACCGCTCGTCCGGAGGTCAGACTATGCTCACCAGTCATTATTAGCAATATTGAGTATGCGCCAGGTACATACATACTCTGCTGGGCTCTGAGGTTATGGAATTCAGTAAGATATGGTCCCTGTCCTCCAGCGATTCCCAGCAAGAATGTAAAGCATGGTGTGCTCGGTTCCGTTTGCACCAGTTTGGGCCCTGAAATCCTCTTACTTAATCCCTGTTGGCCGTTGACCAAAGTTAGGAACTTCTGAATGGTAGGAAATAAAATCATGAAAATTGTCATTACCACAATGGATTTCTCAAGTGCATTATGGGGAACAAATTGAAGCAATGTGTTAGATTAGGGATCACCATGTCAACATCAGCTTTAAGTGGATTTATGATGTAGTAATTTATAATTAGTAGTGTACCACTGATAATAAAATTATAATAACCAAATAACTGCAGGTAACGATGCAGTTAGAGGTGCTGCCCTGAGGGTTTTACAAGTATTTATTTTCTCATTTAATCCTCCCAGTAACCCTATAAATAGGTACTAGAATTGCCCCACATTAGATGAGGAAAATTAGAACAGGAACCATATTATTCTCTGGGTAATGTCATCAGAATACTAGTCCCATTAGGTTAACCTTGAAGCTTCTATCTTCAGTAAACTCAGATTAAAGTTGCACGCCCCTCCCCCTAGTCTCATCTACCCTTAAAATAAAAGGGAGAAATTAGTTCTGAGCTACAAAAGAGATGTCTTCGGGTTGATTTATTCATAAAAACCCAAAGCACTGTTTTGAGCACCTACCACGTGTCAAGCACTCTTGGCACTGAAGATAGAGGCCACTAGTCTCATTTGCAAAACATGTAAGTAAAATATACTTATATTAGACTTATATTTTAAATTAAGTGTATATTTTAAAAGGAAAAGACAGGCAGTAAGCAAATAAAAATTGGGTAGTTATCAATGTTAAGGTGAAAGAAACAGTCACACAATGGGGCTAACTGATTTCCTACTTGATGTTTTTTCAAAACCATAAATGAGATTTGTATCCTTTCCTGGCTTCTCTGCAGGGCTTCTAACCCCTTGTGGTTGCTCGTGAGTGATTTTTGCATCCTGATCTCTGTGTTTGACTTTTTTCCTCCCCTCCAGGTTTGTAGGTAGACTTATTCACTAAAGCAGCAATATCAACCGCCTGCCACTCAAACAAAAGAGCCTTTATTATTTTTAACATAAAGTACATTTGTTTTAGCATAATAGCAGCAAGAGTGTCCCTAGCTTTAAGCTAGAATTTCTCTTGGTAGATTGAGTCTGACATCGAAAATACAGCTAGGAAAGGTAGCTGAGAAACTCCAAAGTCAGCTACTAGGAAGATAATACCTATAAAAGTTTTACTCTAGATGGTGTATGAAAGGAGTCTATGGAAGGGGGTAGAGTGGAAGTAGGGTGACCAGTTAGGAGACCATTGCAAGAGTCTGGGCAAGAGATAATAGTTGTTGGGCCAGCATGGTGGCAGTGGAATGGTGAGTACTGGTCAGATACTAGATATACTGAAAAGGTAGAGTCTATAAGGTACACGGATTGAGCATCTGAGAAAAGTCCAGGAATAAAGGATGATTTCAGGGATTTGGCCTGAGCAAATAGTAGAGTGGAGTTTCCACTTATGGAGGGGTAAGACAAAGAATGAGGAGGTTTGAGGAACATCCAGAATTCACTTTTAATGTCAACTATACTTCAGTTTATAAAAGGTTATCCAGTGATTGTTTCTGTTGTTTAAGTGAAATAAGAAGCAAGGTCATCAGATGAGCTTGAGGAAGGAGAAGGGGATTTTGGAGGTTTTAGGAGGGAAATGTGTGAAATCGTTGTCTGGGATTTGGGATAGTGAATTGACTAGAGAAATATGGTAGCATTGCCAAGCAGCAGCAAGGTTTATGGTCATGAGACCAGCCAGCATCGTGTGTGTTGAGTGCAGGTAGGGAATAATTAGAGAACTGGAGTTTACTGGGGTTGGACTTTTGCCAGATGAGAGCAATACAGAATGATTATACTGGCCATATCCCCGGTGTCCAGAACAGGGGTGAACAAGGCAGAAAAAGTCTGCACATATGAAGCTTAGATTCTAGTGATGGAGAAAGACAAAACGGTGGGGAGGGTACAAATAAGTTAACAGGTAGTGTTGGTGGTAACAAGACAGTAAAAGAAGGTAATGAGATGTAAAAGAGGGTAATGAGATTAAGAATAGGGCTGGGAAGCAGCTCTGCATAGGGTGGATTGAAGAGCATGTCATCAAGAAGATGACATTTGAGCTAAGATCTGAATGATGAGCCCACTGTGTGAAGTCAGGAAGAAGATTGTTCAAGACAGACACCACAGGGCAAAGGCACTGAGGCAAGGTTAGCAAAGGAATAATAGATTCTTGAGATTGGTGAGGGTACACTGGCGGGGACTTGGTCATTGATTGGATAGAGGGCTGAGGAAGAAAGAAATATTGATATTGAACCCAGGGGCTTCTGCCTTGGATAACTAGGTGGATGTTGATGCCAGCACTGAGATAGTGAATACAGGAGACAACAGCTGGTTTGAGGAAGGGAAGATAAGGATTTCACTTTAAGGATTTGTTGAATCTGTACCTAGAACAGTGCCTGGCACATATATGCACTCAATAAATAGTATTGTTGAATGTTTGAATGAGGTGCCCGTAGAATGATTCTAAAGTCCAGGAGCCATGATTGTTATAAACCTGAAGCACAGAGAAGACATTTCCCAGATGGGCAAACTTAGTCAACATTGTTTTCTAGGAAGTCCGTGCTAACGGCCAGAATAAAATCTAACCCCAATTCCTTTATAATTCAATGCTTAGGTTATGTAATCATGGTTTCATATTAATTTGTCTTAGTCCTCTACAGAGAAGGTAAATCCTCTGGCAATAGCAACTCGGTAAGATTAATGGTAACCAGATCACGCTAGTGATGGGTCTTAGCATCTGCCCACCCTATGAAAACAAGCGTGATCATGCACGGGTTAACAAACAAATTGTTTGTTTGCCATTACGTCCCTGTCAGGTAACAGTAGGATCCTGACTGGCAGCATCCAGTAAATCAGTTATAGAGCCTGATAAAAGCTGTGACCATGGATGAAAATTTGTACATGGACTTAGACCTTTGGGCTCAGGTTAGGCCTAGGTCACGGCCCTCAAATGGAAAGATCATTCTACGGGGATTAAAGAAGAGTTTTCTTTCTCTCAAGAAAGGAGAAAATTTCATTTTGACTCTTGATATTATTATACATCTTTTGCATCAAATAACATAATAAATTTAAAACCTAGAAATTCAGAGGAAATGTACTATAGAGAGTGAACATTTGAGTATATCAACAGAGTGAATCTGGTTTACAGGACTCTTGCTGAGTCAGTTTAGAAAGTTGCCACTACTCTTTAATACCAAAGGTGAGGGCATAATACTGGAATAATATCAAATAAATCTCTGAGGACAAAATACAAAGATTGTAAACTGGCCACAAGTCAAAATTTGCCCACAGGTCTTTTGGATTACAGGGCTATGTTTTCTCCTTTTTATTTGAATAACTTTTTACTGTCATATCTTGCCATTAAATTAACCACATGCAGTTTCACACTCTTTTCTTTCATCTAAAAGTGTATTGTTGTGTAATCCACACAGCTAATCACAGAAGGCTTTTGAGTTTGCCAACTCTGGAATTTAACTTTTGTGACATATTCCCGCAAAAGGAAAAGGACATCTCCATAATAACCATGAAGCAAAATGTTTCTCATGACTCAGGCTACATTAAAATAAAATTCTACACAAAATCTTTCAGATAGGCCAGCATAACCTTGATACCAAAACCTATCAAGGACATTACCAAAAAAAAAAAAAAATAGAGCAATATCCCTTTAATGGAAAAAAATTCCAAGTGGAATTTTAACAAATCAAATACAATGTTACATAAGAACTATACATATCATGGTTATGTGAGTTTATTCTAGAAAGACATAGTTTGCTTAACATTAAAAAAATCATTCAAGGGGCACATGGGTGGCTCAGTTGGTTAAGCGTCTGCCTTTGGCTCGGATCATGATCCCAGGGTCCTGGGATCAAGCCCCACATTGGGCTCCCTGCTCAGCAGGGAGTCTGCTTCTCACTCTCTCCCTCTCCCTCTGCCCTTCCCCCACCCCACCCCCGCTCGTTCTCTCTCTCAAATAAAATCTTTAAAGAAATAAAATAAAAAAGTATTCAATATAATTTCAACAATAGGATCATCTTAATAGATACAGAAAAAGTATTTTATAAAATTCAACCCCCATTCATAATAAAAATTCTTAGCTACCTAAGAATAGAGAGAAACTTCCTCAATTTGATAAGATTATTTTCCTAAAACATACAAATCACATCACACTTAATGATAAAATAGTGAATATTTGTCCCTAACAAGACAAGTTTGTCTATTATCACTGCTTCTATTCAATACTGTATTAGAGGTCCTAACCAACGCAATAAGGAGAGAAAAAAAATTAAAAATAAAAAACTGGAAAGAAAAGGTAACATGTTATTCATAAATGACATGATTGTATACATAGACTATCCAACGAATCTACAAACTACTGGAAGTAATAAGTGAGTTTAGTAAAGCCATGTGCTACAAGTCAATACACAAATATCAGTTGTATTTCTTCATACTTGCAACAAATAAATGGAAGATGAAAATGTAAAAACAACGCCACTTACAATAGGATTTTAAAAATAAAATACACAGGACTAAATAAAATGTGCAAGATTCCACACTGAAAATTATGAAACAACACAGAGAGAAATCAAAGAAGACCTATTAAAAGACAAAAATAGTCTATTTTACAGATTAGAAGATTCAATTGTTAGGATGTCTGTTCTCCCCAAGTTGGTCTATACGTTCAATGTAATCCTAATCAAAATCCCAGGAGGCTTCTTTGATAGAAATTGATAGGCTAATTTTAAAATTTATATGGAATTGAAAAAAATCAGAATAGTCAAAATCATCTCTAAAATAAGCACAAAGATGGAAGATATGTATATAACCAGTTTTCAAATTTTAGATGAAAGTAATTAATACAATATGGTATAAGTGTAAGGATAAACAAATAGGTCAGTGAAACAGAAGAGAGTCCAGATATAGGTTCACACGTATATGACCAATGACAAAGACACCAACACAGTTCAAGGGGAAAGAAAGGTCCTAGAATAAATGCTGCTGGAAGACTATCATAACATCCAGATAGGAAAAAAAAAAAAGTCACCCCTGTTATGGTGATGGGCAAAATGTTCAACTGGAAGGTCCTAGGCTGCTGTGGCCCTTGGGGAAGAGTGCTCCGTCCATGCACTCGGTCTCTCTGATTTGGAACTCTTCACTTTGTATATAGTCCTCTGGTCTATTTCATGAAACCTTTCCTTAGACCTATTTTCTAAATGTATATTGAGGAAAAATAAAGCTATTAATTTTTCTTAAAAAAAATTCACCTTGACTTTTACACTTATACCATTCATATTAATTTAAAATGGATCATAGATCTAAATTTAAAATCTAAAATTATAAATCTTCTAGCTGGAAACACAGGAAGCTGTATGAGCTTGGGATGTGCAAAGATTTCTTAAATAGGAGCAAAAAGTACTAATCATAAAAGAAAAACTGTTAAATAGATTTCATCAAAATTTAAAACTTCTCATCAAAAGACACAATTAAGAAAGTGAAAAGTCATGTCCCAGTCCAGTGCTAATCAAGCAGCTTTCCTTGGCAGTTCTTCAAATTAGATCTAAGCTAAGCTCTTTCTATCTTTTATAGCTGCCATCTTAAAAGAAGTGGCCTCCAAAGGACAATATTGAATGAATGTAAAATGCAAAATGCAGACTTAACAGAAAGAATTAGGACATGGGAGAACATCTGAGTAGAGGTGATGCTATACTGTTCAAAAGCTCCTCCTGGGTTAGACCTTTGCAGAAACTCCTCTGTACAATGACATATGTATGCACATGCACACACAAACACACACACACTCCTCCAAAAGCCTCATATATATTACCTTGGAATTACTCACTGTTATCTATTGTATCTGTCATTTGTGCTACTGCTCCTTCCTAATAGCATGAGTGAATAATTTTGTTGAACCTGTCCATTAGTTTGCATATATTGTTACAGCCCAGTGAAGAAATTGACTCACTTGGAAATGGCAGTTAGACTAAATGAGAAAATTTGAGTCAAAGTTTAAAACATTTTACAAGTGATTTAAAAACAACACAAAACAGGGGCGCGTGGGTGGCTCAGTTGGTTAACTGACTGCCTTGGCTCGGGGCATGATCCCGGTGGAGCCCCACATAGGGCTCCTTCTGCTCAGCGGGGAGCCTGCTTCTCCCTCTCCCTCTGCCTGCCGCTCCCCCTGCTTGTGCTCTCTCTCTCTTTCTGTCAAATAAGTAAATAAAATCTTAAAAAAAAAAACCGCACAAAACATAGCTGCCAAATTTAAAAGTGATTAATTGTAAAACACAAAGTAGAGAATTAAAATAAAATTACATTTTACAATATTAAGTTTTAAAAGTAATTCTTGCATTGTTCTGAAATTGTGAAATTGATTCAGTAAGGGAGAGATTAATATTCAATTTATAAAAGCATTCACCTGTTTTCTTGTATCTAGGCATCTCTAGTGCATTCAAAATTATCCAATTTACGAATAACTCATTTATAAGTTAAACTGCCTGGTTTGCATCCCTGCCTTTCCACTTACTGGGAAGATGGGGGTGATGATAGTACTTGCCTCTCTGGGTTGCTGAGAGATTACATGGGTTCATTCCCATCCAGTGTTTTGAACGGTACGAGGTGAGCCCTTGAGAAATGATCATTACTGGCCCATGAAGGATACTTTGGAAACCTAGGACTGACATTCCTGACATCAAACCATCTTGAGCCAAGTTGACTAAGGAAGTAAGTAGAAGGTAAACAAATAGATGGCATCAGCCACTGCTTAGTTCTCCAAAAACCCCTCACATATGTCAAAACAGACTGGTGGGTTGGATGGGCCCTGATTCTGACTCAGTGTGTGATATCCTACATCCATTAATTACACTGGCCTCTTCTGCATGATTTTATATTTGAAAAAATTAAGTTCTATTTTAGAAGTGGATATCTTATGTTTTTAATTACTGATGTAAGTGTGTGAGAGAAAGCACTTTAAAAAAAAAGATTTATTTGAGAGAGAGAGAGAGAAAGAGAGCTAGACAGAGCGCGGGGAGGGGCAGAGGGAGAGGGAGAGAAGCCGGCTTAGGACCCCCTCTCCCAGCCTTGAGATCCTCACCCCAGCCGAAATGGAAAGCCCACACTTAACCAGCTGAGCCACCCAGGTGCCCTGAGAAAACACTTTTTTTTTTTTTTAAGGATTTTATTTATTTATTTGAGAGAAAGAGAGCATGCACAGGGGCAGAGGGAGAAGCGACTGCCCTGCTGAGCCAAGAGCCCAATGCGGGGCTCGATACCAGGACCCTGAAATCCTGACCTGAGCCGAAGGCAGATGCTTAACGACCGAGCCACCCAGGTAAGAGCTCCTGTAAGTAGGAAACGTGATCCATTTCTCACTGAACTGTAGCGGCCCGTTTAGTGCACAGGTATTTTAAGTAAATTTCCAGCAACCTGGAACCAAAGAACCGATCTGTGAGGTGGGAGTGGGGTGGGAAGGGGGGATGAGGCTCCGGGATCTGTTTAACACTTGCTTTTAGAGCAAGACTTGCTTTGAGGTTGTTGCTAGTTTCCCCTTCACCAGGCGGAGTTTGTCACTTTAAGGCAGATACCAGGAAGTTCAAAGTGGATGTGGAGAGGGGAGGGATGGAAACACAGGGTTGCTGTGTCTCTAGAGACGGTGGTTGAGCCTCCGGGCAACTGCAATCGAGGTCATCGGATTTTTTTTTGGCTCAAAGCAGGTTTGGCCCACGTAATATTTTTGCTGGAGGAGGGAGTGGGTGCCGCTGAGCTGCGGGGCTTTGGCTGGAAGGAGGTGGAGAGGAATAGTTACTCCCCCTTGGCTGTTGCTCTTTGCACTTTGTCGGTTTATATTTCTGCCACAGCAGCCAAAAGTGCAGCGCAGCCTCTGGATGGCAGCTGAAGGATCGGCCAGGTGCTACAGGAAAGGCAGTGAGATAGGCTGCCACAGCAGGGCTCTCAGCTTCGGGTCTTGCGGACGCAGGGCTCCCATATCCCTTTCCTAGCAATTCCCTATGCCCAGGGGGGACAGCAGAATCTGACTTCTCCTAAAGCACCTGTTGTCCCAGCATTTATTTGGAGGATGCCATGGCCAAGATCCAACTTCCCTGAAATGTGTTAACTGAAGTGTGCTTTCTGTCTTTTGTTTTTTTGTTTGCTTGTTTGTTTGTTTGTTTTGGACAGGTTACATTGATCTAGCCTGGTAAAGATATCGGGAGACCATGACCAAGAAAAGAATTGCAGTGATTGGGGGAGGTGTGAGTGGGCTCTCCTCTATCAAGTGCTGCCTGGAGGAAGGCCTGGAGCCAGTCTGCTTTGAAAGGACGGATGACATTGGAGGGCTCTGGAGGTTCCAGGTAAGTCTCCTGGTTCTTCAGTACTTGGAACCCTCACTGGAACTAGGCGCCCAGCAGAGTGTTAGTTTGCAACCTCCGGAGCATCCCAGGTGTAATCTGAAACTGGTCCCCTTCATGGAGGGCAGAGAGAGACCCAAGAAAGAGGCGGGCCACTCCAGGGTGGCAGGTGGCAAGTTTAAATAAGCAAGGGAACTTACATATGAGGCGTGTCCTGGGCAGCAGCAAGACAAGTACATCTCCACACCTGCCATATGTTAACTGGATTCCGTCAGTACCATGCACGTGGTCTCAACACCCCATCACTAGGAAGGCCAGCAGAATGTACATTCCAAGAAGTCTCTGAGGGTCCAGCTCGTGGGTCAACGTGTGGTCACAGCCTCTTGATGACTTCCCCCCAATATGCCACCTCTCCTGACCAGCTTTTACAATGTCACACAGCCCCCTCTTCTATGGTGTCCCCTGAGCAGTCAGCAAGGGGGTTCGCTATCATGGAGGTGGCCCATTTGGTTTTGTCTGTCTGCATGGGAGGCAGATACCACGGTAAAAGTGTAGGCACATGCAAAAGAAAACACAGATTAAGGTAATGATTTCCAAAACAATTTTTTTTTTTCCCACCAAGGACCCCAGGCTCCCAACCACTGATTGATTAAGTTCCCTAGCTGGGGGTTGGATCACTCATGGTATTCACTTATGTTCTCATGTGATTTAGTAAAGGTGATACATTAGCAGACTCATCAGGTATGAACACACAGCATTCTGTTTGGATCATGGCACAGGTGCCTCCTTCTGAGGCAAAAATAATGTCCAAAACCATTCTATTTTGGACGACAACTCTTCTCACTAGAGCTATTTCAGTATTCAGTAAGGACAAGGTTTGTTGGTTATCATTTAATGCTTGCTGGGTGAATTTAGTAAGGGCTTCTAAATGTACTATAACATCCACCGGGCCAATGACGGAAATAAAGACAACAGCTATAATCCATGTCAGTGAAAAACACAGCGTGTCCATCTAGCCTTGAGGTGAGGGAAATTGACAAGTATTGTTTCCATGGGTGGGGTGAGTTCTCCCCTATGCCCAGGGAAAACTCAGGGTGCAGTGGTCCAACCACCCAGGTGGGAACCGTGGCCAAAATTTTGTTCCACACAACCACTAGGCCCCTTTTCGGGCTACCCAATAAATACCTGGGTGGTGCGACCAGTTAGTACCAAACTAGTCACTCTCCTTTAATATGACAGAGTGACTGACCACACAGTTCCAGTGACATCCCTCCTATACTCCCGGTACAGTTGTGTTGGTTCTGTTTCAAATGACGTTTCTCTCTTCCCAACACAGGGGTGCCTGGGTGTTCAAATGTCCATAAACCCATCCCAAATCTGGCTCAACGGTGGTATTTCTGGGACCCTTCCATTGAGCAGGTTAATGGGCTGCCTGTGTAGTCTGATAGACAGAAAAAGAAGACCCATGCCCAGTGTTATTGATAGTGTGTGCTCCAGGCCAGGTTTCTGGATTAGTATTGGTAATATCAGATGAACCAAGAATGCTAGTCCTAATGTGTTCTTCCTTAATGCATGGCTTTAGGGCCTTTCAGTGTCTTTCTTGGAGGGGTGATTCTCACCATGACAATCCTGAGGAGCTAGAGAGGGGCAGCTTCCCACATAGCCATCAGTTGGATTGATTTCTTTGTTGGACATAGGGGTGGGTCCACTGTAGAAAGGAATTTCTGTCAGGTGCCCATCCTGTAACTGGACACCGAAGGAGCAGCAGAGTCTAAGGTCAAACAGATATTTAGTAGGAACTTGTATGGGGAGATGTTCCTCTGTTACAAGAATGACAAGGCCTGATCTTTAGACATTAGGGTGGTTGCAGTTTTAGGAATTTGCCAGGTCACGTATACCATCCAGGTTGGCCAGGTGAGGCAGCACTGTCAGGTGTGAGATGGACTAGGGGTGGGATATGCCAGACCAGGACTCCATCCTCTCCCCCTCTTTCGATGGTACATATTCCTCTGCAGGTATAGTATGTTTCAACAAGTCTAGCTTGTAGCAGGACAATGGGATCCCAGTGCAAAGTAACTCACCCATCCCAGCAGAACTTGCCATTGCAAATTCCAGTAGATAATGCCTTTCTCAGGGTTTGGTGTTCTCAACAGCACAACATGCTCATCTTGGTGAGAGTTGGGGCAATGGCTGGGTTCCGCAACTTCCACACCTTTACAGTATCGAGGGCCTTGGCGGGGGTCCCCAGTCTGGCATATGGGGTAATTAGGACTTATTGGTTGATCATGCAAATGTGTTAAAGTCTGGGACAGTACTTTCGTCTACTTGGCCAAAATGGTTTTACCTGTTAGTAATTTCATCTCTCCTTTAATATCCCATTTTTCCTTTCTACCAACCCTGCTGCTTGGGGGTTCTAGGGGAGCTGGAGCCTCCATTCACTATCATGACTTTTGCCCAGTCTTGAACATCATGACCTTTGAAATGGGACCACCCCATCATGTCTACTGATGAGGGTATCCATACATGGTACTCAGCTTCTATAATCCCCTAATGGTGGCAGCCTGGTTTGCACATTCACAGAGAAAGCTTGGGTTAGGCCAAGTGCTGTGTCCACACAAACCAGGGTGTATGTGTAACCTTCACTCTGAGGGAGTGAGGCAATATAATCAATTTGCCAATCACTCCCTGGTTGAGAACACCAGATTCCTTTGGTAGCTGCCTTTGGCATTGGTTATAGCACACAAGGCATGCTGTTACTGCATTAACTTGAGTCACTATAGTTCAAGGGTGAAACGAGCTAAGGTATCAGCTTCCTGATTGCCAGGGGATGTCAGTGCTTTATGAGCAGGGATCTAGAAAACAGTGAGTTATACTTCAGGCTCTTATAGGGGGACCCAAATGTCTTTCCACATATCCTGATACTCACAAGGGCTGATTCACAATCATCCACCCCTTGCCTTCCCAATGTCCAAGCCGTAGGTTTCATCCCTTTAGAACAGCCCAATTGTCAGTGCAAAGGGTTAACAAAGGAGTAACAGCCAGAACTCATGAATCAATCAGCCAAGCTGTTCTGAGTTCAGCCCGCTGGTTACTGTACTCTGTTCCTGTTTCCAGCCAGATAGTGTCATTTTTGGGCAAAATAGTGACTGTACTCCCCTTGAAGGCATTTCCCCGACTAGACCCATGTGTATACTGGGCATCGGCTAGAATTTCCCCATTCACTCCCTACAGGCTACAGGGACAAAACAGGTAGAGGGGCAGGGGCATCTGGAGGATCTACATCCTCCACAGGTCCTAGCAGCACCTGCATTTCTAGTAGACTGGTGGACAGGGTGCACCTCTGCTGCAAATAGGCATGTCACTTAATCACAGTGGAAATTTGAGCTATGGCAGAGGTGGGTAAATGGAACGTATTCTCATCCCATCCCTTGATGGGCAGGGAAGTTCTTACCACAGTGCTCTGTTCCTTAGTGAGAGGCTTAATCTGGAAGGGTGCTCTGTGCGGGTAGACAGGTTTTTGCTCTCTTCCCAGAGCTGAGACCAAAATCCCAGGAGTACTCTCTCCTTCTCTTATTTCTGCTAGTGCCCAGCGCATATATTCCAGAGTCACAGACACATCTAATTCAAATGGTAGTCCTGCTTGGGAGATGCCCAGAACTATAACCTGCTTTACTAGTATTTTGGCCTTTTCAGAGGCAGCCTGCTGCTCTGATCCCCAGTCCCACATGTGCCCTTTCTTTACCAGGTGGTATAAGGAATGGGGACACTGTGCCAGGTGGGCAGTAAGAGTCCTCCCAAGTCCCTAAATCCTTGCAAAGGCTGGCATTTTGTTCACATTCTTAGGGATTGGGTAGGCTTGCACCTTATCAACCACAGCTTCTGGGACAACACAAGTCTTATCTGACCAGGCAGCTCCCTTGACCCTGAATTTTTTGTGGGTTCACTGCCCATCCTCTCTCTCACATAGGCTCCAGCAAAGCCTCCAGGGTTTGCCTCCAGCAGAGGCAAATCTTCCCATGTTAACATTATATCATCAATGTAATGGACCCATTTTAGTGATGTGGGCAAGGAAAACAGGGCAGGTCTCAGGCTACCATCCCATGACATATGGTGGGGCTGTGTACGGCACCTTAGGGAATCACTCGAAAGACCTATTGTTGCCTCTCCCATGTAAATGCAAACTGGTCTTGTGACTCAGTGGTCAGGGATATACTGAAAAAAGGCATTTGCTAAGTCCAGCACAGCACAGTACACTCCTAGGACTCTGGTCAAGATATCTAAGATGGTGGCAATGTTGGGCACAGCTTTATGGATTGGGAAGACACTACCTTGTTCAGTTCTCGGTAGTGTGCTGTCATCCACCATGAGTGATCTGACTTTTTTACTGGACATTCAGTGCAGTTTTGGATTGCTTATCCTTATGCCCCCCCAAGCAATTTATATTGACAGTTACCACTCTACAGGGATGACAGGCTTACTGGTTCCCAGTTAATGTTTGCCCTCAGTACTGGTTTGGTTACCCAGAGGTGGAATTCACCAATGGAGATTTGCCCAAGGGCAGGGGAAGGGGTGAGGAGCCTCCAATTGCCTGAGTCCAGTCAACCGGTGGTCATGTCCTCTTGATGACCTCCTCCAACAATGAGATAGTTTATCTTGTGTCAGCTAATATGATGGGCTTAACAGTGATTAAACTTGCTAGAATTCAGCCCGCTGGCCTCTTCTCTCCAACCATCACCTCAGGTTCTGTTCAGGTTCTTCCTACTCCTCTCCTCCCCCCGCCCCAGGCTAGCAGCAAAATAGGACACAGGTATCACTTGTTTGTACTTTACTGATGTCTACAGAAATGAAAATGGCACAGAGATCATTTTCACTTAACGATTTTTGCTGCTATCTGAAAGAGGGTAAACAATCTTGGTGGGGGGCAGAGTGAGGGTGGAGTGTAACAAGATAACAAACATTAGAAAATGTAAAATGGTTAGGAAATTTAAAGTGGTTGCTCCTGG